TTGACGACGTTGATGGGTGCACTAACAAATTCCTCAGGAATGTCAGCAATTTCAATTCCAGGGCTTACCCATTTCCTTCACTCCAGTCTGGTGTGTAGCAGATAATGTTCTGTCTGTTAAAGCAGAAGAGTGCCATTTGTAGGATTTGCATTGTGAACAGCTCTCTGGCTGTCATACTTCCGCTGCTGCCACGCACGATTCTAGTCTTCCCACCTCCTTACTCTGGGTCCTCCTGTGCCAAGATTTCTTCAGCCATTAAACACTAGTTATTTGCCAATAAAATATGTTACTAGAGAGGTAAAAAAAGCGTTTACACTCGTAGAAGCAGGGGAATCATCTTCAAGTCAAACGCACCAACCTCCTATACGGAATGAAAGGGTTCACTGACACATCACACAAAACAAAAACTTTTTGCTGGATTATTTCTGATTTTATTCGCTACGAGTAGTTAGAATCACTAATATACATATAAGAATTGAATCAAATGCAGCTGTAAAAGAAAAAAAATAGTTCTATCGCTTTTGAAGGCGACTGCTAATATCTTGGCTAAAAGTGAAATTGAGAGTGTGCTTTAAAGTTTCATAAAATTCGTCCACAACATATTGCCTTTTTAAACTGACTTGTTTATAAGAATGCAATTTTACTTAATTAACGGTTTTTTAACGCTTGGTTTCGGTAGCACCTTTGCCGAGCTGCCCCGCCTCTAAGTCATGCCAGAAGCCCCCAGCCCTGCCGCACACCGACAGTCCACATTCTGCCTGCGTGTTATGTCGTCATTCGTCTTCAGAGGAGCCTTAAAGCGTCAAACAACCATCGTATGAATCCAGTTTCTTACCGCATGTCATGCTAAATGCATCAAGACTTGAATTTGGGGCGATATTCAAGTTGAAATTGTCTGCTATTCGAAAACCATTACCATTGCTAACTGATGAGTAGCATTCGATTTTTCGCTTCCATTGATATACTAGAAGATGAGTACTGTATAGAAGAATTCTGAGTTGGATGGAATAAATGGCAAAGGTCGATCCTTATTCTGCAGTAGATGGACTCATTCGAAGCAAATTCAGAAATTTCACAGCTACTACATATTCAAAGTAAAAGAAACCTATTTCCAAAGGTATTCGTACAAAATTTAATAGACTTGTCCATTAATCTGGTCAGAAATGCATCAAAGTAATTTATATAATCGTCTTTGACCAAGGTTTCACGAAGAAATGTTTTAGAACTTGCAATGCTGCTTAAATAAAATAGGGCACGTGCAGACAAAATTTGCACATTGAGGCAAACAATACAGAGTACAGAAGTCCAAAAAATGTGATGGAGTTGAAGATGTTTGTGAAGGTAAAATGGATAATCACATTTTACGCTGAAAATTGCAGTTTAAGTGAGGATCTCGATGTGGAAAAACGACCATCGCAGTCCAGGTTGCCTTTCTTCCTCGGCGACACATAATGATCGTGCACCACCTCGATGACATCTTCAACTAATGAGACTTATGGACACGTAAGAGAATCTATTTTACATCCGAAATACTCAAGTTAGGTCGATTAACCTGCTTATTAGCAATGAGTAAAGAACATATGCTACATGTTTCTGACGAAGAGGCTGAATCGTGGGCCATATAAAGTTGCAAATAAAATAATCACGAAAGAAGTAACTTGGAATAATAATTGTACTTACAGGCGGATAAATTGAAAACAGTCCGCAAGAAAGTAGAATTGAATGAATTTGTATGGTGCCGCTGTGGAACCAAAATACTGATACCGTTGGCTAACAAACTCCTGAATTTTGCATGAATTGACCTCCGCCTCTTTAGCGTCTCTTGATTTAGTGTGACGTTCTAATCGCGCTCACTACGTGCTCACATTCACCAGCCTACTTTTACAGGTATTTCGTAGCGGTGGCTTTCAAGTAAAGATCTGTCTTCGAAATTTACGGTACCATAAACGCACCGTGGAGGCGCGACGACAAGCAGTAGCGAATTGCAGATCCGTCTTATCACACCACCTCAACGCACCAATCCATGCTGCCTGTGACAAGTGGCGCTCAAGCCGTAAGCTGATTCAGCCCAGACGTAAACACCGTTCATGAAGACAGCATGCAGCAGAATGAGTTGATAACGAGGCGTCTTGTGAACAAAAACGTGAAATGCGAACCCATAAAGATCCCAAGCACAATGGGCTAAGCAACAGTAGGCAGTAATGCTTAGTTGCTCAACTGCTCGTTTATGAGACACTCGAATGGTCTCAACGACGATCGCGTGTACATCCTGATCAGCGCCGATCTCTGGCGCCATGGCCGCGACCCTAACCATCACCGTTATTCCAGTTCGAGGAACGCCTATTCTATGCATCGCCATCGGAGCGTCAGAGCACAACGCATAAAGAACTGAGTAGCAAGTCGGATGCCTCTCTAATTCGCAATCGTAAAAGACAACTTCTGTTGCGTAGACGTTTATCCGGCATTACTTCAGCGTCAACAAAAGACGTAATCAAATGTAGCAGAAAATCGTCTTAAGGAATGAAATCTAATATTCTAACTTGGATTGGCTTGACTAGACTACCACTAATAGTAACAAACCTAGTAATCATGTAAAACATATACCTACCATTTCAATGGTGACGTAATTTGAAAACTCTTGAATTTAATTCCATTCGCAGTGTTTACTTGGCTGCTCCATTTACTGCCGTTCAGCCACATGAATCTCGTGCAGTTTCTTTGAGCATGGAAAGGTATTGTATTAGGATTTTGAGGTCACAATCCATGCATCAGTAGTCATTTTCTTGTGCTAGCTTTGATGCAGGAGTTGAGGTCGGGGTGGGGGCTAGAAGGCTGGCCATCACTTTGGTGCATCGACAGCTTCTACCACTCACTGTTGATATCGTGCCGCTATCGTACACGCTACTTGACATATTCCATCGCGCTGTCACCGATGCAGCACCTGAGTTCCTCTTCGAAGCCACTGTCAACGTGAAGGCATATTTACTGTTAACGTTCGGAAGGACTGGCAACTTGGTTGCAAAACTTCATGCTCCCATGTGTTTGCCAACATAACGGTCAAATCCTTCCTTTGCCCATGCAGGAAATGAGTGCAATGGGCGAGGGAGGACGTATAGCTTGTCTGGCCACAGGGGAGATTGAGACTTTGAAAGAGGTAGAAAAGGATGAAGAGACGTCTGTTTTCGAGGCTGATGCGTCTTCATTGTGACTAATAGCTTTTATAAAATAATAATCCATACACCGCCTCCACCACTCACACATCTACGAAGCAAAACCTGTTGTCTTTGAATGATCATGCCTGTTAAGGGTTTGAAGCACTGCATAAAAAATAATATTTGCTGAGTTCGAGTTGTGCCTAATGCATATACAATCTGAAGTGTTCATCAGAAAAGTTTCTCCTTGTGGAAAAACGGTTAGGACTTTCGACTAGTCTCTAGAACGTTTTTTCGCACAAACTAGCCCCAGTTCACAACATCCACTTTGTGGCCAAGTTCATTAATCAAATAGCTCCAAATCAGCAAGCCAATTGCGTTTCCATATCAGAATAATATTTATAATTCCCAAAGTGGCCATCCATTACACTAATCCCAGTACCCAGAAATGGTGTCCAAAGTGGCTCTGAAAGAACAACTTGGAATTCCTAAATGAGTAATAAGGAAAATTCACCATGCATTCGACAACAAATCACCCACATTTAATATTAGGTTGTGTGGATGAGCAACGGAATGATTGCAGGTGTTGGGATGCATAGACTAGCTGGCCTTAACGTTATGCTTCCAATGCTACCAGCGAAATTCTGCCACTTGGTTTGGTGATTGAACTATGGAATTTTAGGTAGTGAGATACCATTATTTGCGATCCCTTTGCAAATGTCGGCTTCTGTCTATTAGTCTTTCATTAGGACAAAGTAGATTTATAAATATGCTTATTTTTTGCTCTTTTAAGAGAAGACGCACAAA